CTGGTGGCCAATGGCATTCGACTTGCAAGACAGACCCGCCAGGGCCACCAGCAGGGAGCACTGGTCCAAGAAAATGGGACCTGAGTCTTTCGGCTCAGCACCGACGCGACCGGCGACCGGTGGAACCCGCGGTGGTCTGGGGATTCCGAGCCGAAGGAAGCGGCGGACACGGGTTCCGAAGGTCACACCATGCCACTTCTCATCGGTTTCGATGATCGCAAGGTCATGGTATGCTTGTGTGTAGGTTTGGGACTCACTTGGCCATGACCTTCACATGACCTGTCATTGCAGGCTTTTCGGGAAAGTATTTAAAGCATGTTAAACATATATTGTCGGAGTTTGGCCAAGGAACTACATCATGTAAGTCCCCCAGTATGAAGGCTAAATGGAGGGTGTGTGGAGAAAGGGGGTCAGCAAAAATCGTTTATACGAAGTTAGTGCTTCAAAAACACCTTCCACAAAGTTCTGCGAAGGTTTCTGGGATTTCGTTGCAGTCAGTTCTCCTACTGGCCCACCATTCCACGAACTGTCCACGAATAGCCTTGGGTTCTACGAATGTCCTGCGCCTTCCACGATGTTAGTAGAATAGGTTTTTGCAAAACCCTTTCTGTGCACTACCCTTCCGTTTGCCTCTGGCAGTATTGGATTTCGCTCAAGTTCACCTGGGACTTTGGACCCAGTTCTGAGAAAATAAGGTTCTTTGTGTCATTGCGGGGGTCGGTTGGAGCGGCTTGCTTGGGCGGCTTTTACGTCGCGGTTGGCAGAGTTCGCCCATCGTTGACAAACCCGTTGTCTCCCTCACCATGAGAAGGTGCTAGAAATCTGTAGGAACCTCAAATAAGGTCTACGGGTTCCAGGGTGCTCCACTGGCGCTCAAGTGGCTCAAGTGGTTTGTCTCTGAGAGCCATGAACCTTCCACACCTTGGCTTAAAAGCAGTGATTGGCCTAACTGGGCCCAGCACCATGTAGAAATGGACAGGTCAAAGATAGATGCGAATCAAACCATGAGTCATGAGACAAGAGTATTTTGGGGGAACCCCCCTGTGCCCCTAAATAGTCACAACCCACAAATTCCCTAGTTCTGGAGAGATTTCTGGAATTGAGATGACAGGGAAGAATATGTTCCAGGAATTGAGATGAAGTCAAAGGGGGTTATATAATTAGTATATACTGGAGGTTGATTTTCCTGGAATTGAGGTGAGAGCGGGTCAGTACTTCTGTGTTTTCTGGATTGGTGATTCCAGATCATGAAATCAAGAGCAAACGATTCAACAAAGAGCCAACGAATTCCCGCGATGAAAGGCACAAACACAAAATAGAGCTAAAGGATGTGTCAGCCAGCAAATACACTTAGCATCATTAAAAAAGATGGGTACAACTTGTACAACTTATTTAGGATGTGGTGGCTTCATGGACCATTTCCAGAGTGATTGCATTCAGCTCTTGATCGTTGATGAGCAAGGGATTAATCAGCACGTTGCATCAAAGGGTTTTGGGCTCTGGTGACTCCAGGTGATGAAAGGAAGAGGAAAGGAACACAATGGAACACATAAGAACTCCAAAGAAAGAGTCAGTTGATCCAGACATAAAAGGCCGAAGCAGTATATAAAGCTCAGGCATTGTCGGACCCAAAGCAAGTCTTATAGTTTTAGAGCAAAAACTATTGTGGTGCTTCATGCGACAGCAATGAACCATCCATCATGTGCACCAAAGACCTACCGCCGAATACTAGAATACGCAAATTATTCGTGCAAATTCCATTGGCAACCTATCAACAATGAACAGGAAAAGCATAACGTCCGCTGCTGAATCCGCCAGACACAATATAAACAACATAAAGTTACTGGATTAAACACCTTGGGAAGGTGGTTAGCTTTATTTAGAGGTTGTTGAAACATTGTCCGGAGGGGGTTGTTTAAATTAGTTGGTGATTTGTTAATCCTATGTCAACATGATCTTTCCTTCGGACTGACCGAAGGTCATGCACGCTGTTTACAGCACCTTCCACACATATCCAAGTCCATCCAGGCAACTTGGATTTGCGGTTCCCAGAAAGCCGAGACCAGTTTGGGACTTGACCCAGTAACAACAGCTAACCTGATCCGCAAAACCAGGGGGGGCCCCGGCAACACACGGGGTGAAATCGGCCAACCCAAAATTCTGAGACCTTCTCTCGATGTCGACGTGCATTTTTGCTCTTGGGCTAGATGGCCTTGTGGGGCTTGAACCCAAACCCCTCGGCGTCGGCCCCAAGAAGCCGCACAGCTGCCGGTGAACTCACATGTGGAAAACACTTCAATGGCACCGCTCGCTCGCGGACTCTTGATTACTTTACATTTGAGTCCCAGACGCGAACCAAACGGGACTGCCATAGGACTGCCGATCAGTTGGGGTGGTGCCAGGGGGTAAATGTAGGCATATATTCCAGTCCCATGGAGTGTATGGGATTACTCTGATCACTTAACCCCCCTCATTTGAATTGAACAACCTTTTCATCTGCGGGGTTATGTTCATCAAAAGCCTCTCCACTCCAATGCTAACGTCACTGTTCTGGGGCGCCGACTGGAAGAAGCTTCGCCACCGGTGTGCCACCTCGGCAGTGGACACAGCAGTAACACGGAGCTCGGTGACCGTGTGTGGAGCATAGTTCACGACCCAGTTGACATGAGGAGGCCCGACCACTTTTTGTGTTGGAGTTCGTTCATGCAGGAACAACTTCCGCAAACCTTATTATAGATCTTAGGGATTTCTGCCGCCCACTCTGAAATCACAAGAACTCTGCGGAGTTTCGGCCCTCTCTTTTCTGGCGCTCGCACGAAACGAAACAGCGGGAACCTTTTTACAGAACTCTTGGAACAGCCTATTCGTTCCCTTGACCTGAATATTCATTGGATATTCCCCTCCTATCTATCTATCTATCTATCTATAATATAGTATATTATATATTATATAGTGAAATAAGAACACCCCTGCCTTTACTTTTCAGGCTTCTCATCCAGCTCGGAACGTCCGACGAAAAGGATGCTTCGACGATTCCAGCAGGACAGCGACCAGTCAAAAATAGGGAAAGGACGGCCACATTTGGCTGTGGATCAAAACCCGGATTCTTCAACCAGGCTAGGTTGACCTCCTTAATAGTCCATGCTGTTCAACAAATAGCTTGGTTTTTGACCCACAGCCCTTCGGGACCCGGAGCCAACTAGCTACATTCCACTTCCAAACTTCCAGGGTTTAGGGTGAAACACCGACCAACCTGGTCGCTTACACTGAAGAGAACTTGACGAGAAGGCTTCAGGAACGCACGAAGAAAGCGCTGAGGGATTTGACTGGCGATCCAAAGGGCATCTGATGCATCGGTAGTTGTCATACCAAACACTCCTGTTGGAACACAGAACACATGGAAGTAGAACATCCCCCTCGTAGTCTTCCACGGAACATGCCATCCACCAAGTGATGTGTGACTCAGAGTGTAGATACCAACCGCCAGCCCCTTCACTATCTTCACTTTCGCTCCAAAAAGCGGTCCAGCTAGGCCGTCCGGCGCCGTCCGGCGCGCCACCGGCCGGCCGCGCTGCGAAGACGCAGCCGATCCTCCATCGCCAGCCAAACAGCTTCTCCACCGACCGAACCACTCCTCCAACGAAACGACACGACCCACACGACCCTCGCCCCGACATCTTCACGTCACATCTTCACGTCTCCAGGCGACACGCTGCCGGCATCGTTGCCCGTGAGGTCCGTGCGGCCCACCACAATGGATCCACACCTCAGGTCGTGGGATAGGCACGGTCTGTGCAGCATCTTCAGGCCTAGTAGGTAACCTCAACTGATGAGTGGAGTGGAGGGGTCAATATCCATGCAGCGGATGTCAGGCGGTGATACAAAGCCTGAGATGAGATCAAGTCAGTAACAAGCACTGGCATGCAATGCCAACCCACCCTGGTCGTACCTGGTTCAAAGCTGTTTGTTTGATTGATTTTGTTTGCACGTTGTTGGGAGGTAAGCAAAGGTCGGCCTATCCCACAACGCCCCAGCCATGCCAGCCACCCTCGAAGTAAGGGCTTCTAAGGATGTGCATGTAGGCGACACTGACGCCCTGCAGGAAGTACTGGTTGTGGATGGTTGTGGTACATAGGTGTTTCTTGCAGGTATCTACCATGCCGGTAGCACTCAGTAGACCCAACAATTGAAGATCAAAGCACCTGGGAATACGTGCGAGAAATTAATGTTCCCTAATGCACATTATATATTTTTGCGGCCTTATTGGCCAAGATTCAAACACACCAAAAGAGAAACAACTCTTAATTATTACACCAATCCAAAAACATGACCAATTTCCCATTGCTTTCTGGATAGTTCCAATACGATATCATATTCTATCTGCTCCAAGCTGACTATATCTATGATATACCCTATGGATCCACATACCTTCTGAGAAGGTGATTGGAGACTATTTATGTAGGCGCCAGCCCGCCGGGTCCCATTGCCTTAAACAGATCCCCTGGATCTCCAAAAGACGTCGAGATTGGCAGCTCTTGCTTTCCCTCATGTGGTTGGCCCGCGGAAAAAAGAAGCGGTGGCGTGCCGCGGCGAGGCCGGGTCCATCACTGGGACTACGCTGATTGAGCACTTCAGAACATCAAGTAATGGCCGGTGCTGGTAGCCATGGGTAGCCAAGGTTGGCACCAAAAGGAATTGCATTTTCATGTATTCTCAACGTACTTCAGAAGCCCCACAAAAATGGGAAGACTCCTGCCCGGCCCATGGTGTTTGAACGGGTTTCTTGCTTTGTCACACTTCTTCTGAGCGCCTCCTTTCTTCTGTCACGAGCGCTTCTGTCTTCCCTCACGCGTGGTGAAACGCGCTGGGAGCAGCTCGAGGTCGTTTCGCGTGACTCAAAAGCTTTCCAAGCTGCTGTCACTCCGAAAGAAAAGCTGGATCATGGCCATGGTGTCTTAAATGCTTTGCCTGTGGGGTGAACATGGCATTGACCCGTTTGTGTCGTTTTGGCACCTTTTGACCTCCAGTGACTCCGCAGTCCTTGGCTTTCAACATGTCCAAACCCTGCCGGCGACGTCCGCGGCGTCGTCGCCTTCGCGGCACTCGGCGCTCCGCTGGGCTCAAATGGCATAGCACTGATCGGCGCCGAGCCCCGCCCGATCCTCGTAGAGGTGGAAGCGCACGGCTTGGCCTATGGCCTCGAACAGCAAGGAGCGGCGTCTCCCCAATGGGATTCTTGGGCAAAGAAGCGACGTGAACAGCAAGCTGCATCGCTACCGAACGGAGCGATCGACGCTACGAACGTAGTTCCTGGCATTACGACTAGTAACAAGAAGCTGCTAGTAACACGGGCATCGCTACTATACCATTACTACTTAGTAGCTAGAAGCTACTAGTAACAAGGGCATTGCGATCTTTGGAAGAAACCAGGGCCAGTTCTTCAAGTTCATCCGAGTCTTCCCACGATCCGCGTCGTGTCTGCCGAGCGGCTAACGGCTCCTGGTTAAGCACATCTTTGGCCTCAGGACCGGTGAGGTCTCTGTTTTGCAGTGATTTTTTCCCGAGAAAAACCACAGCTGGTCAATTTGGGGTTCCCAATTGGTACCTGTTTAAAAGTCGCATTATTTAAACAAAAATTGGAAACCATTGGAAACCATTTTGTGCACAATCTGTGTAAAACGCACAACTCCTTGAGGCTCTTTGAAGATCCGAAGAACGTCGCCCCTCTCCCTCTCCGTTCTGCGCTCCCAGATTCAAACAAACATTAGTGGCATCATGTCAAACGATTTGCATCGATTTGCCAAGTAGCACATGCCAGTGACAGGTGACTATCTGGCAAACGTGCTGTTCCCAGTCCTTTTCTTGGCAACCGTTGTGCTGTGGTTAGTTCTATTAGACGACGCATGCGTTTCTCCGTCACACGGGTTTCTCCACTCTACAGTTTGACGAAGTTCGTTCATCCCAGTGGCATGTACATACACTTGACCTTGACGAGAGAAGGCCCTCGGGTGGTTCAACGGCTGCCTCGAGAGACGGCCGCGGAATGCGCACGAGCGAGGGGAACATAGCAAAACACGCCGAAAAGGGCAGTGGACGCCCAGGAAACCAAAGTATTTTAAAGGCTTGGAAGTTTGGCCCAACAAACAATCACCTCAAACACTTAATGAGTTTTGTTTGAAGGGTTCTATATGTGGGGATTGCCATTTCATGGGAGTTTCAACGAGAAGAACGATTGCCTACGATCCTCACACTGTGTAGACCAACGACCCGTACTACAAACCACTCACACTGGCATAAACGACTCCGGCATCAAACTCGCCCAAGTTCCCACATGCTCCTGTACACAACACCCCTGCAACGTGCCATGTGGAAGTCTAACTTAGTTTAGTATGGACACAAAAATGAAACAACATATACCAGCAGTCACAAAGGGGTGCCTATTGGAGGATAGGGGTACCCATTATCCACTCACTGGATGGGACTAAAAACCACCTCTTTGTGACTATATATATATATA